GGGGGGAGGGTGGGGCCACAATAGGTATTACAAGGGGGGAGTCTGGTAATGAACAGCATGGCCAAAGTTACTCAGGTGAGCGATGTGGCCCATGGGCCTCTTGTTTATTTTTTCTAGTTTAGTTTTAAATTTGTACTAAATTCAATGTAAATTGATACTTGTTACAAATTAAAAAATGCAAAAAATGCATTTCTTTACAGAGTTATATCCCTTGCCATCCCCGGCATTATCCATTGACAACAATACCTCGCTTAATAATTTATTTGAATACTTTTCTTTTCTCTACTCAACAAGAATTTTTATTGTATCATTTAAAAATAGAAACACATGATTAAAATACTGTAAAAGCAGAAATATTCATTGGGGATTAAATTTCGTTAATGTCGTTGTTAAGAATTACAAACGAAATTAAAACCCACACGAAATTTTATGTGACTATATATTGAATAGGATTACTTTTGAAACAACGAAATTAAATCCTCACGAAACCTTTTTAGATGACAAATCAACAAAATTTTATCCCTACGAAAATTTGTGCTTCTACAGTATTTCGTTTAAAGCATATGGAGAGAAACAAAAAATTTACAGAAGCTGAATTTAAATGATGAAAAGAACATTATCATTCATTTGAGAGAGTATTAGTTTATAACACAGTCGTGTTCCTGTACTTACTGAAAGAATTAAACATAGACAATAATCGTATGAAAATGTACAGTGAAAAGTTTGTTACTGATATTACATTCATCAGAAAATGAACAGAAAAATTTCTCTGTAGAAATACATTAGTTCAAAGTGATGAAAGTAAGGAAAATTGAATTATTTAAAGATTATAATCAATAAAATCCGGATCTATATAGATTGTTTTTTAAAACCCAAAGTAGGGAAACATGACGAAAATCAGAGCTAATTTTACCTGATTAAATTAAGTTGAAATAGTGTGTACATTATAGATTATAGCAAAAACTGACTAAGAGTGAAAGAGATATGGGTTTGGATTACCCTGAATTATCTTTAATTATATGATTTTATATGCAACCACCAAGTATCCAAGTCGTTAAATTAAGCCAAGTTCTAGACCTAACTTTAATTACTTCTCTTCACAATATATTTCAGATTTGATTAAAATTTATACTTGAAATATTATTTTTCCATTTAATACAAAATGCATTATAAATTCTTTCTAAGTCCATACCCCACCCCCACCCATCCCTGTATTTGGGGCTGTTAAAAGCTCCCATTCCCAATTCAAAAAGGTACCTTTTTTACTAAATGAATGTGTTAAATTTCCCAATAGTCATTTCCCCCCAAAATTAAAGAACATGTTATTGGATATATCATGTACATACATGTAATAACTAAACTTTCAACTCACATTCATCTGTATTGAAGATAATAAATTTAGTCAATAACAAACAGCCCCAGTCCCAAACAAGTGGTTTCACCACCTTAGAAAGTTGTGAGAAACATGACTTCATCCAAATAAAAGGATTTTGCACATTGGCATGCTTTGAAGAAAATAAATTATCAGAGTTGCTATACTATACATAAAGTCATAAACTCATCCACTTGCAAGTCATTATACAAAAATTTCCATATATGTTTCAACAATTTCTTGTTTATTATGTCAACTTTTAAAAACACTTTGTGAATTTATTGTGTTATAATATGTGTACTTTTTTTTTTCTAGACTGTGAATTATGTTTCTGACAAGATCTGAGTATGACCGTGGTGTTAACACATTTTCACCAGAAGGCCGTTTGTTCCAAGTAGAATATGCCATAGAGGCTATAAAGGTATGTCGTAATTTTATTTTTGAGAGTGTGCGTTTTATGCATTTTTTTTCTCAGTTGATTTTGTTTTGAAACTGGTATGCTTTTTCTTAGTTAAGTTATTTGGAAACCAGGTCATAGTAAGGGCAGCAAAAACATGATTATTTTTGGAAAATTTAGCCCCATCAATAGATCTTACTGTATATTGTGTGAAAAAGATCAATACCAGCACATACAAACTTCTGTTGCAGCTTGGTTCAACAGCAATCGGCATACAGACATCAGAAGGGGTAGTTTTAGCTGTTGAAAAGAGAGTTACTTCCCCTTTAATTGAACCTTCTAGTATAGAAAAAGTTTTTGAAGTGGATGACCATATAGGTAAGTATAAGAAAAGAGCATTTTAAGCTAAAACTTGTTTCCAGTCCTTCTGTTTTTAGCTCACCTGCTTTTCTGATTGAAATTTGTCCGTTGTCTGTCGTCGTTGTTGTTGTAAACTTTTCACATTTTCATCTTCTTCTCCAGAACTACTGGGCCAATTTCAATCAAACTTGGCACAAAGTATCCTTGGGTGAAGGGGATTCAAATTTGTTCAAATGAAGGGCCACGCCCTCCTCCAAGGGGAGATAATTACGAAATAGCAAAAATTAATGGCATTATTGAAAAATCTTCTCAAGAACCAATGGGCCAGGAAAGATGAAACTCATGTGGAATTATTGTCAGGTAGTGTAGATTCAAGTTTGTTTAAATCATGACCCCCGGGGGTAGGGTGGGGCCACAATGGACGATCAAAGTTTTACATAGGAATATATAGGAAAAATCTTCTTCTCAAAACAGCAAAGCAATGATTGGTAATATTTATTTGGAAGCATCCTCAGGTGGTATGGATTCAAGTTTGTTCAAATCATGACCCCTGGGGGTAGGGTGGGGCCACAATGGATGATTAAAGTTTAACGTAGGAGTATGTAGGAAAAATCTTCAAAAATCTTCTTCTCATGAACAGTAAAGCCATGATTGGTCAAATTTATATGGAAGCATCTGCAGATGGTGTAGATTCAAATTTGTTCTAATCATGACCCCTGGGGGTAGGGTGGGGCCACAATGGATGATCAAATTTTTACATAGGAATATATAGGAAAAATCTTTAAAAATCTTCTTCTCAAGAACAGCAAAGCAATGATTTGTCATATTTATATGGAAGCATCCTCAAGTGGTACAGATTCAATTTTGTTCAAATCATGACCCCCGGGGGTAGGGTGGTGCCACAATGAACGATCAAAGTTTTACATAGGAATATATAGTAAAAATCTTTAAAAATCTTCTCAAGAACAGCAAAGCCACGGTTTGTCATATTTATATGGAAGCATCCTCAGATAGTGTAGATTCAAGTTTGTTCAAATCATGACCTCCAGGGGTTGGGTGGGGCCACAATGAAAGTTCAAACTTGTAGAGAAAAAAGTCACAGTTAGTCAAAAAATTATGTAAGCATCCAAGTTAGTGTAGATTTAATTTTGTTCAAATCATAACCCCCCCCCCCCCCCCCCCCCCCCCCCCCGCACTTCCTTTTAGGGGTAGGTTGGGACCACTTATGCATTTAAGCTTTACAGTACTAAACTGATTTTTCCTTTTTTCTTAGCCACAGTGCTCAGGTGAGCGATGTGGCCCCTGGGCCTCTTGTTTATGAATGCAATTTTTTTTAATAGGTACATGTAAAGCATTAACAGGAACAAATTGAGTCTGTTACGTTTCCTTTTGAATTACAGTATTGCAACTTCAAGATTGCATTGTTCTTTGTACATAAATGTTAATTATTAATTTTTATTTTTTAACTGTTTTGTAGCCTGTGCTATGAGTGGATTAATTGCAGACTCCAGAACATTAATAGATCGAGCTAGAGTTGAAACACAGGTCAGTTTTATTTCCCAGATTGAAAAAAATGGTAATGTTTAATTCATATTCCTGAGAGAAGTATAAAACTCAGATATACATAAATTGCTAAGAGAGATAGTGTAAGATAATTATTTTTATATTTCCTGCAGAATCATTGGTTTACATATAATGCTAAGATGTCAGTAGAGAGTGTGACACAGGCTGTCAGTAACCTAGCTCTACAGTTTGGAGATGATGATGCAGACCCTGGAGCAATGGTAAGACATCTGAACTCTCACAATAGATCAAAGGAAATCAAGTTAGAATTTCACTGAATTATAATTTATAGAGTTTTGTTTGAAATATAAGATGCATTAACTTTATAAAAAAAACTGTTTTGCTTTTGCGTATGAACATTTTGAGATGTTGAATGAAATGAAGTATAAAAGGATAATTGAGATTAGTTTTTCTTCTCTTTTTCAAAAGTACAGAAATACAGAAGACAGGATAAATTGTATTATTATACCTCTGCAAATTTTTATGCGCCCGGATCGATAGATCAGGGGCGCATATTGTTTTTGTCCTGTCTGTCTGTTTGTCTGTCTGTTGTCAACTTTAACCTTCGCCATAACTTTTGAACCATAGGAGATAGAGACTTCATATTTGGTATGCATACTCCACTAATTAAGTTCATTCAAATGACACCAAGGTCAATGACCTTGTGACCTTGACTGTGACCTATACGCTAAAAATAGCTTTTTCGAACTTTGTTGCCGCCGGGTGCATAGTGTTTCACAAACACAACTTGTTTTCTTTTTAAAAATATGATGAGTAAACCAGCTATTTTTCTAAACATCCTCTACAGTGGAATAGTTATTGTGCTATTTGCCCATGGTGAAATTGTCATTGAACTATTCAATGGCAGCATTACATTTCCCTCACATTTTATCTTGGAACTCTTCTGGTTTTATCCGCATCGTGACATGACACAAGTAAAGTTTGCTTCGGTATAATAAAATACCTATTTACTGACTACTCAGACAATAGCAAGTTTATTGTCCCCCTCAAGAACAACTATTTTCCTCGGCTTCAACAACTGTTTTCCTCGTCTGCACCTCGGGAAATAGTTGCTGTCTTGGGGGAAATAAACTTGCTATTGTCCTCATTTTAATAGGTGTAAATTATTTTACCTGTCATTATTACAGAGTCGACCTTTTGGTGTGGCGTTACTTTTTGCTGGCATTGACAAGAAAGGACCACAACTGTGAGTTCTGTGTTTTACACCCATCAATTTGTTTTAACTTTATTGTATTTAACCAAAGCTGAACTTAGTTATTCTGATTGAGAAATTTTCATTTTCTTCATGTACACCAACTGTGAGTGCCTCTGTGAAGCAAAACCCGTAATAATGGATTAAAGTTTTACATAGCAATATAGGAAGACAAATATTTTAAAAAATCTTCATCTTAAGAGCAACGATATTTTTATTGATCTTAGGCCAAAAAAAATAATAGTCTTGTTTCCTGCTACCCAACCGACCCTATTTTTTTGCACCCAACCCTAAAGTTTTGTTTTTAGTTTTGGGGGAAAAAAATCGGGAATTTCATGTTCCAAAACTGAAAAAAGTATATATTCAAGTGGTATTTCATGAAATTTTATTTTTAATTATGGACTTTCATAAAATACCACTTGAGCTGTGCATCAAAAGACATGAAATTTAACTGTGCATCAAAAGACATGAAATTTAATTTTAAAAGATAATATTGACCTATGACATGTTTAATTTGGTTTTGTATTAGTTCATATCCTAGTGTTAAATCTAAAGCAAACTAGCATGGCGCGGCACCATGCCCTTTTCTCTTGGCGCCATGCCCTTTTTACCAGCGCCATGCCGTTTTTTCCTTACAAAAATAAATAAATATTCCTAGCAGAGGCAAGATGGACTAGCAGCTTTGTTTATTCAGTGCATGCTGATTAGCCGCTTTGTTTATTTAATGCATGCAAAGGTGTGAATTCAGGACAGAATTCAGGACAGGAAATCACTTCTCGCTTGAACGCACACAGCGACCTGGCCAAGTAACATGCCTCAGGCTGTCAGGGTATAAAAGATAACAGGAGAAAATATCATTTGATTGCATTGATTATGCAAGAATTAACCCCAATGTCAAAGATAGATTAATTTGTAAATTAAAATGTTACATATTTTAAATCAGGATCGTTTTTTTTTTAATTTAAAGTACGATAATGTGAAAAATAAAACTGCTGATGAATTAAGACAACTTACAATGTACCCAAAAAAAAAACCTGAATATAAAGTGTGAAATGGGCTAGGAAACAACAAAGTATGAAGTTAGTTTCTTTCAACATGTTTAATGATTCTGTGTTCTAACTTTTTGAGTTGACACCCTGAGGCTCAATGTTTCTAAGCCAGAAAAAAAGTTTTAACCAATTTATATATTATTTGAAGTTTAATTTTTTGGTATGATCAGTTAATTTTCACTTGATTTTGTTGGTAGATTATTTTCAAAATAAAGAGAATGCCCTCTACATTTATTATCCAAGTAGCCCCCCCCCCCCTTGCAATTTTGTTCTGTTATTTACCTCATACACAAATAACAATATTAAAGCAAGGAAAAAAAATCATACCCCAAACTAAAATAATTCTTGAGCAGGTGACAAAAAAGATTCACATCCATTACTTTTTAAGCATATATATAACCTTGATAACCATACTAATTTCTTGATTAAAAAATTTGAATTTAAATTTTGGCAATAATTGCCCTCTCAGTGTGTATTAAATGAATGAATTAAGTTGACAGATTTATAATTTTTTCTTTTAGATACTTGTATAACTAAAGATTTCAGTATTAAATAATAATTTAAGTACATAAACATGATAAAGAAAATATTTATAATTTCAAAGATGTCAAAAAAATGCCCTCATGAAAACTTGTCGTGGCGTAAAGTGCCTTTTTGATTATTGGATTACCATGCCCTTTTTAGGGTCTGGATTTAACACTATATCCAAAAAATACCGTTGGGAAAAAAATAAAATAAAATAAAAAAAATAGAATAATTTCTCTACCTACTTACCCTATTTTTTCAGGCTGGTAGCAGGAAACAAGACTATTATTTTTTTTTAACCTTATTATTATGAAGTGCAGATCAAGAGATTTGAGTCAGGCCCCCCAAAGGGTGTATATATAAAAAAAGTTAACTTTGGAATATTCAGTTGAACTTTGGTACATGTATCTCGAATACCATGGATATGTACTCTGGGAGAGAATTGTGGCCCATAGGCCTCAGTCTCCTTGTCTATCTGCCAACATCTTGTTTTAAAAAATCTTTACCCTTTTGTAAAGGTAGAAAATTACTCACTGTGCTAACTTAAAATTCTTAGTAAATCTAGAAATCCAAGAAATGGTGAGAAATATATATATATATATATATATATATATATATATATATATATACACATGTATATATATATATATATGTTGAAATGTATATTGCATGAATTGAAACCTGTGCCAAAGGAAAAATAAGCCAAAACATGCACTCAGGAATTAAAAACAAAAAACCTTGTAGATTATGTGTTTGAACCAGAGACTTAATATTTTTCAACTTAGGCTCATACATAAAACATAAAATGTAAATTTGTCACTGCCCAGAACACTGTCTTTCATAAGCCTGTCTTTTGTTAGCTATCATATGGATCCATCTGGAACATTCATACAGTACGACGCCAAAGCCATTGGTTCAGGATCAGAAGGAGCACAGCAAGCTCTACAAGACACATATCACAAGGTAGTCACAAATAGTTCATGTAACCAATAATAGAAAATTAAGTAGGCCAGCTACTAACCATTAGTAGGAGAACAGTAACCTTTTATTGGGTTCATTACTTTTATATGTGGAATTTGTATAAAATGCAATATTAGTTCAGAATATCTACTTGATGGGGGGGGGGGGGGGGGGGGGGTGTTAAAAGTGTTTAGATAAGGTTTGTTTGCTGTGGGTCTGATATTGAAATGATTCTCGAGTTTTCTTTACAGTCTATGACTCTCAAGGAGGCTTGCAAATCTGCTTTAACAATACTGAAACAGGTCATGGAAGAAAAATTAAACTCCACAAATGTTGAGGTATGTGTGAAAGTTGACACAGTCAGTGTAAAATCTAAAAGTTGTTTTCTTTTTAATTTCACTCATTTTTTTTTCTTTAGATGGGACAGGTGACCCCCGAGAAGAAATTCCACATGTTCACAAAGCAAGAGTTGGAGGACGTGATTAAAGACATATAAATTTTGACATTTATTTGTTACATTTTTTGATATGACATTCATGTTTCATATTTGTACCTCTGTAATTGTAGGAACAATTAAGTGCTAATAATAAAGAGAGGGATGATTTACGAGAATTTGCTTATTATATATACTGTTTCAGTCGTAGTAAAGGAACACTTGTACAATATCTACTTGGATTGACAATGACAGGTATGGGTGCTTTTAATATTAAGGTAAATGCAATGAAATATAGCTTTCTTCTTTTGAAAATCAAGCAGCAGTAATTTCTTCCTATTTCAACATTATATGAAAACACCATGAACTCAAAAATTCCAATTTCATTTGATACCTGATCCTGTCATTCTTTTATATGGCAAAATTAAAGAAATGTAATGAACACATTATTTGAGGTAGAAGTATATTGGTTTAATTGCTAATTTAAAACAAGACGTATTTGTGAAACACTAATGCTCCTGTAAGGTTTAAGTTTCTCAAATGCAACTACAAGGTCAAGAGATCAAAATTTTGGTGTACCCAAAGAAAGAATACAACTGTGAAATATGAAAGCCCTTGCAACAAACATTCAGAAATTATGGTCGAAGTTAAAGTCTTTCACAGTAGGTGAAACTCCAAGCACAAGGTCATAAAATAAAAAAAAATATTGGAAATTAAAAAAATATTGGTCCTTGAAAGGTCTTGTCACAAGGAATACATCTGTGAAATATGAAAGCCTTAGTGCCAAGCATTCAAAACATGGACTTTGCCATTATACTCATATGGGAGCGGGGGTATCATTTTGAGCTCAGCGCTCACAATTTTGTACCTCCCATCTTAGTGGGGTGTTTCATATCATTCATATATATGATATACATATTCATAATAAGATTCCTCCACTACAGACGATACTGGAAGTCATATCGTCGGTAGCCATTAAGACGCCGTTATATGGCTTCAGCTTTTGTGGACGCGACTTTTGGATTTTGGTTAAATCTCATGCTGGTACACCTTGTAAGGGACGTAAAACTACAAGCAATCAACCTACCATGCTGGTACATTTACATTCTGGCGTCCACTTTTTGAGCCACTACTGGACTTGCTTCGGATGCTGGATCTGACCTACATTTTCCGGATGAGTAACCAGATTGAAGTTTTTGGAGCAGATCTCATTTCTTGCTTTAATGTCTTCAACTCTACTTAAGTCTATGAGGGATTCGTCAACCATTTCCATAACCATAACCATTGGGTTATCTTTTCCTGTTCGACATTAAGACATTCGTCTTAACTTGACTGCTAAAACTTCCCCTCTTAGCACGAAACAGCTTCTTTGGCTTAAACATCAAGCGTACCCGGGAAGTACAGTCATCCTATGCATTTAGAACCGAGCCTGTATTTTTGTCAATGTTCTCACAGTGAGGTCATTCATGAATTCTCGGTGATATGTATATTATGGAGTTCATCAGCGACCCTCTGGTCTCTCACTACCATGGTTATCATCCCCATCCCCATGACGAACAACAAAGGAGAGAATGTACCCCCAGTAAATATAAATCTTTAATTTTCGACCTCTGCCAGAACGTCAGAACTCATCCTAGATGTAGGTGTACTCAACTTATGAACTGCTCACGGTAGCCTAGGTGGTAGGGTGCTCGCTTTGTGATTGGGAGGCCCGGGTTCTTTCGCCAAATCTACAGAGGTAAACATAGGTAATGACTGTTCCTTTGCCAATCGCCCGGTATTGGATGTGAAAGTCACGGGTCCCATATAACGGTAGGCGTTGGCACGATAAATACCCTTTGTTGTTCAATGGCTCAGAGTGCCGAGTATAGGTCTAAATTTGAAGCCATTCACTGGCATACGGTGGCGTCTCTATACGAGCTCGAGTGAAAAATGCTCGAATGGGACGTAAACAGCATACAATCAATCAATCATCTTAGTTAAACCAGATCTTTATCCCCTCGAACTTGTTTTTGACAATCTGTTTGACCTTCTCTGGCACATGTAGAGCTACAATTCAGCCCCAGTAAGCTCACATGGGGTCAGATCAATAGGCATTGACTATGACTAGCCATGCTGTAGAAAGTTACTTTTTGTCTTCTTCGGCTTCAGTGATGAACTAGCTTATCACAGATGTATGCTCATCAGACCAAGAAAACGCAGGTATTGCTGCCTCTTGGATGAATGTGTCAACATTCTCATTATTTAACATGTTCGTTGAAATTCTGAAGGATAATTCTCTCAGGAGAATTTTCCCTATGACGCTCAGCAGGGAAACGAAACTTAACTGGTTGGTTGTCTCAGAGTCCTTTCTTTCAGCGTCAGTCTGCTTCTTTCTAGTTTGATGGTATAGTTACACTCGTAAAAGCTGTCATACTTTCCTCGGAAGAATTTGATATTTTTGTACACTCTGTACGGAATCCCGTTTGGCTCTGATGCTGAGACGGATCTTGCTTTCTTCACCACATCTTTATTTCTTTTATTGTTGGCTCTTAACACCCATCAATGCCCTTCACTAATTTTCTGTGGATATGGACAAAGCGCCTCCTACTTTTGTAGATCCGCGGATGTTGTATGCCTGACTTGTTATCTTTGGACTTCGGTTGGCGTTTTCTTAACCTTTCCTCTCCAAGAACCCCTTTTGTAAAGTTGAGTAGGTCCTTCACATAATTTGTTCTTCTCTCTCCATTGCTTTCTCTGTTTCAGATTCTTTGTGCTCCTCAGCATTAATAGCCTCTACCTGATGTCATTTGTCAAAATTGCTTTCTTCGTCTTTTCACAGTCATTTGCTCTCCTTAACTACCCTTTCAACACATATAGCTCCTTGTAACACTCCCTGATCCTTCTTTCCTGTCTGTTAGAGCCAGCTTTGTGATCTGCCTCTTAATTTCCATTCCTTAACCACTAACCGCCTTCTTCCTGTTTTCTGCACAATGCTGGTTAATGCCTTCGATGTATTCCTCGCAATGTCCCTAGCTGCAGAACTGCAGCTCTCTGGTTGAACAAATTCGCTATAGATCTAAGCGTTGTAAAAACTTCGATTTACGACGCCGCTTTTTTGTCGCTCGCTTCGGGTTTTATTTGTTGTATTTTATGGTTTCCCCCGCTTTAAGAAGAATGGTATCCGGTAATAAAGCATATATTTTACTCCTATTCCTGATACTTTATTTACCTTTCAACGGTTCCAAACGGCCTTATGTGGTTTTGGAGTATAAGTTTAAAAAATGCATTCCGACGTCCATGTTGGTGTCGTCCTGAAATAACACGTCCGAGTTTTATTTATCTCATTTCTTTTTTTAAATACTTATTGTCTTCATTATCGACAATATACATAATATTTGAACCTCCTGAATTTTTAATGTTTTCTATTTACATTTTCTCGGCATGTGTATGTTCTTTGAAAGACCTTTTTTCGCACGACCCCCAACATGGACGTCGGAATGGGATTTTTTTAATCCGACATTCCACAATCATTAAGGGCTGTTTGGGACCGTTGAAATCTACCCGTCATGAAAGTTCAAGTTTGCAGTGACTTGGCGTCATATTCCATCATGACTCTTCTCTTTATTTGACCTCGATATTCTACACTGTATATGTCTCTGGCAGGCTGTTTTGACGTCTGTTGCTCCCTGGTAGGCTTGTTGTGAAGTAAGCTCTTCCATCAATTGTTTGATAGTGTCTTTGGATGACTCAGACAGGAAGTTCAGACAGGAAGAAGTTCCTATCGTTGTTGGTTTCTCCTAGCTCCGATCCTCCTGCGTCTCACCAGAAGGAGCTGTGTACTGTATCTGGGTCTGCTTATTACAATATTAGCTTATTGACAATGTATTCTCAGACCTCTAATGTTCTTGCAAACTTTCCCACATAGACACCTTGTTCCAGCTTCCATCCTGTTTTTCCATCTTATATCGATTGCATTACCTTTTTCTCTGTTCTTTGTCGTTGTCTAATGATCTGCCACTTCGAGCCTCTCACCCCCTCTCTCGGGAGGATGTAAGGGAATTATTCCTAGTATTTTGTAGCTCCTCGGTTGTCCCCTTTAAAGATTGTACCCAGGGAAGCTACCCGTCACCAATCTGTTTTTGCCCTCTGTCTGTCCAGTATTATCTGTCCTCTCCAGTTTTTTAAATGCAGTCACTAGTCACTGGTTACAAAGAAAGGTCGAAGTCCATTTCTCAAGAACCATTAATGTACACTCACAATATCTGGTAAGTTGATGCAGTAGTACCACTACAGGTAAGGTTTGCATGTCATTTGATCTTGTTTCTATGGTTGATCTTCAATTCAATTTCTGGGACACGTACATAAATCAAGAGCTATAAGACCTACACTCACCATACTTTGCATGTTGTAGTAGTGTCGCCACCTTTCAGGATGGCACCTATCATGCAATAGGTTAAGATAACGAACAGTGATCTATCTCAAAAATATTTCAAACACTAAAAAATTGTGAACAGGACATGGCACACGGACCCTTGAAAATTTCAGGGGTGGAATCAGGTGCCTAGGAGGAATGAGCATCCCCTGTCACACCTGCCATAAACCCTATATATTGATTAGGTAGATGTAATAATCCTTAGTCAAATTTAGTCTAAAAGCAATGGCATCAATTTGTATGAAACATGTCAGTCAAAACACAACCCACCAAAAACAAAACCCAATAATATGTTCTATTTACAAACAAGGTAGATATAGCGACCACAGAATTTTCGAAATGCTGACTTTAAACAAGATTGTTGGAATTCCTGTAACATGAACTAACTTGACAGTAGCCCGCCTCGGTTTAAAATTTGATCACCCTCCCGAGCATTCTCTTGCTTATCGAAAAAGTTCGGAGACATAAAATCCATATGCAGCTGAAGTCATCTCCTTTGTCATTACAGTTTTGTTGTTTTTTGAACATAATCATCTATAGTCAGTAAAGTATCCAAATATAAAACAGTTGTGATAAATTCTGTGTTTCGAGTTTACTGGGATATACGAGTTGACATTTGAATGAAGGTAACTATTGTTAATTGATAAAATGTCTTTGTATATCAGTAATAGTTTGCTTCTCGTCAATGACTTGTAGAACTTCTTGAAACAATTCTTCTTCATAGGAATATAAACCAGGTCGGCTTATAAAAGAGCACATTAGTGCCCATCTAAGTTCCAACAGTTTTTGTTGGAAGACCTTGTCTCCGAAGACTACATAAATGTTGTCAAGGAGGAACTCCAACCTCTAAGATCAACCTCAGAGTGTTTGTGTCTTGATTCAGAATGAGTTTTAACAAAGTAATTTTGAAGATGACCACTCACAAGATATGAAAATCTCCGAGCTCTATTTTAATTGGAAGAATAATTTTTTATGATTTTAAAAAGCCTCATCTTCAAGTAATGCGCTTTGCTGTGATTGACTTTTGATTGATTGATTGTATGTTGTTATATGTCCCGTTCGAGAATTTTTCACTCATATAGAGACGTCACCTTATACCGGTGAAAGGCTTCAAATTCAGAACTTTACTCAGCACTTACGGCCATTAAGCAGTGAGGATTTTTTATCGTGCCAACACCTACCATGACACGGGGCCTCGGTTTTTAAGGTCTCATCCGAAGGACCCTCAACTTTTACTTCAAAGTGCCGAGCGCTTGGTGAAGGAACAGTTGCTACCTATTTTTTATCGACTTAGGTCAGTCGCGGCCGTGATTCGGACACACGACCTTCCGATCACGGGATTGACTTGAATTTTCTTCTTCTTTTTTTTGAATCCACATTTTATTGACAACACTTCTAGAATATGCTGTATAGGAGCAGTAAAGGAGAAACTTCAGGAGTACTGTACAACAGTATATTCGAGAAGTTGTGTAAAACAGATGTTGATACTTCAAAACTCCGAAGTACTTTTAGAAAATTTGAAATCACAAAATTTTACTAAAATCAGTAACATCAAAACGGACGACTTTTCAACAATTTATACAATCATTCCCTCGATAAATTGAAGACCGGGCTTTTTGACATCATAGGCAGCTGCTTTTTCAATCAAAATGGAACTCGTAAATATACTTACCTTGTCGTTGGTCATTTGCAAAATTATTTTGTTAAAAAACATTCTGATTGTACATACAAGTACTCTGAAGTTGATATTAAAAAGATGCTTGAGTTTCTGATTGACGATATCTTTGTAGTTTTTGGAGATCATGTCTTCCAACAATCTGTTGCAATTCCTATGGGTACCAATTGCACCCCCTTATTAGCAGACCTATTATTCATATGAAGTAGAATTTATTCAAAAACTTCTACTTGAGAAGAAGAAAACATTTGCTGTGGACTTCAACTCGACATTTCGTTAGATCGACAACGTATTATCAATTAACAATACTTACTTTCATTCATATGTCGACTCGATATATCCCGGTGAGCTTGAATTAAAAGATTCCACAGATTCTGACACATCTGTTTCATATTTAGAAATTTTACTAGAAAAAGACGTTAATGGTAACCTTACAACAAAGCTTTATGATAAACGTGATGACTTCAACTTTTCAATCGTCAACTTCCCTTACTTATGTAGCAATATACCCTTATCCCCTGCATATGGAGTTTATGTCTCTCAGTTAACTCGATACGCAAGAGCATGCTCCACTTATGAACAATTCCTAAAACGAGGTAAACTATTGACAAACAAGTTGATGAAACAAGGATATCAACAGTCTCGTTTGAAGTCATCATTTCGCAAGTTTTACGGTCGATATAATGACCTTGTCAGCACATACAACCTATCATTAAGTCAAATGTGACTTTTCATACTAATTGTTAGGCCATTACTTATACACTGAATTGTCTACGGTTTTTTCCTGTTTTTTCCCGATTATGACAAGGAGCACACGGTGGGTGTGACCGGTTGGCAGGGGATGCTCACTCCTCCATGGTACCTGATCCCACCTCTGAATTTTGAGGTCCGTGTTTGCTCTGCTCCAAATTTGTATCATTTCATTGGACTTTCGAGATTGAATGCTGTACTTTATCTTCATATTTCACTGTACCACAGTATGCCTAAAATATCTCCTTCCAAGCAATTCAAATTTTTTGAGGAGTAAAGATAGAAGCTTATTAGAGCATTTACTGGATCCTGCAATGTATACTTAAAGTATTTGTAAGGACATTTATGAAGTTTAGGAATCCAGTATATTAGGGTAATTCAAAATTCACTTTCGTTGACTGGAATGTTAAGAAGTATTAAAGACTGAAATGTGATTTTGAAGAACTTCATTTGTAGAAAATGAACTGTGAGTATTTGTAAGTCTTTTATCACACCCAGTTTAGAGAAAACGGAAGGATAGATGGTTCGCATTTGGCCTTTAAACTATCCAACACTATTCTTTAATTTATTTCTAAAACATATAATAAATTCTGTCAAAGTATCCAGGTCACCCCTTCATATCTGACCTTCACTTGTTTTAATTGATTCACTGTCTTGTTAAAAGTTTTTCATTCATTTAACCCTTTCTCTAAAATACTGGCATACAAATTTAGCAGTGCCAATACATGAAGGGACATTAATCCTTAACCTCCTTTAATTTAACCAAAAAAGTATTGCATCTTCTCTAAATATTCACTCTTATTAAGAATGTTGAATCTGAATGTGATAAATTATATGTTATTCTGTTTTATATGGCTATATAAGATGTCGTTCATATTACGTGCAAGCCATATCAAAATGATCTTCAAAAGTTTTATGCAACACACTGCACAATATGCTAAGTCAAGATTCAACATGCACAACACAGATTTGGGACTTAAGAATTTTTATGCATACGAACCCTGGGTTAAAACTACAATACTAAACCCTGGGTAAAAACGACAATACTTGAATGACTCAGAAAGTTGACAATCATTTCCTTGGCATAAGAGTGCTGAAAAAATATAATAAAACAGCCAATCAATATTAAATATTTTACTAAAATTGGCACATGTATTTGACATAATTGTCGTTTTTTGAAAAATCACACAATACACTTTTAATTAAAGTATATTTAGACCACAATGGCTCACGAAAGTTGGCGTAATCTTACAAATAAAAAAAAATACATATTTCCTTATTAATTACTGTTCTTTATCTAACTTTCACGTAACACATCCCATCCTGTCTAAATACAATCAATTCATACCTTCGAGAGAATATTTTCAAACCATTTTTATTGTACTCCTGTTGCTTGTAAAAAGAAATCGTAACGTTTCGTGATCCCATTTTGGTTAAGACAGAAATATTTCAATTCAAAAATAATAAGACATAAATTCTTAGTTTTACAATTTATATATTTGGATATTTCTAATTATAAATATTTATAATTAAGCGGTACATTCCGTTTTCACAATTTCTTTTCTTTTTCATTTTTATTTTTGTGGTCATCCGTTTAGAAATTTTGAATTTCTTTTACCAAGGAGTATTTTGTGCCAGGTTTGCATGGTAAAGGTATGAGATGAATAATTATTTTTAACAAAACAACAAAGACGACAAATTTTAATCAGAAATTAAAACTAATGTGAACTTTCTTTGTCACAGCACTTAATCTTAAAAAGAATCCACGAGATTCTTGAGATGCATGAAAATTCAATATACAGAACTTATGACTTTGTCAGGTAAGAGCATGCTACCTGTTTAAGTAAATAGTATAAAGGGCTGTTATTTTTATTTACATGTATTTCTAATATTTTAAAATTTAATCAAAGATTTTAGACCTGTGCAAGGAATTGAGACAAATATGGGAAAGCCAGTGAAAATATGATAATTTTCATGTACTAGTATCTAATCTCTCTGTAAATGTGTATTTAGGGTGTGTAAAGTATTCTTATTTTGTGTAGTATTTATAGTTGATACCAGTTGTTGTCTACATGCTTTGCAATGCATGATCTGTAGATCATGAGATACACAGAATGTACATACATTTTTCAAAGAGGTTAAAAATATTGTTCACCTCAAAATCTTATTTTAAATCTACATGTATTTCATAAAATCTTAAAATTTCAAATTTTCACTCGCTGCCTGAAATAACTCAGACGTTTTCTAACATTGAAATAAGGTGCAATTTCTTTCAAGATAAAACAGTTGAAAATTGTTTTACCCCTAACTCAATAAAGTCCCAAAATGACGTGGAAGTGCTCGTGTGGGGCAGACTATAGGATCTACTAAATAAGAAAAATATGAAATGTTACAACAATATATATGAAAAAAATCTTTTGCTTGTTTTTCTAAAAACATTAAATAATTGCATCAAGTACAAACTTTACAAATTGTAAGCTTGAAATATGCTTGACAAATCGCAGGACGATGAGTGGACGAACATGGATTAGAAACAAAGAAAATGTCACTGATGGGGTAGTTGTTGCTTTCTACTAACACTTCTTCAAATTATGTGGATAACAGGAATTCCGAACATTAAAGTAATGACCAGTCTGAGGAGCCCCACCAGGCCACAGACGACCAGGCACTCCCCGAGTGTCTGACTTTGATCCCACTCATTGTTCCTGTAAATCATAATAATCAATCTTAGAGTAAATCTCCATCTACTGATACAAGCATTGAAAGTATTTTGGTATTCATATACATAACTTAGTATTGATTTTGTATTTTATGTGGTTAATAAAATATTTCTTATAAAATGGTAATTTTTGAAATCCAGTTAAAATGTTTAGCGCACCTGTAACATCTAAGTCTTGCTGGATGAAACCATAGGTTAAAAGCATTGTGTCGTCTGCTACGGCACTGAAATCATCGAATGGCTGCTGTATCCCAGCGACATAATTCGAATCTGACGTAATTTCTGTGACGTCTACTCCCTGACAGCTTATCCACGTGACTCCCTTGTCGTCACTACAGAGATTTGCCATAACATCCTGAGAGACTCCCACCAATATCGTCCTATTCTTTACGCCTACTACTTGTCCAATGCCAATCAACTCTAAATAGATAAATTCTTAATTATATCCACTTAGAAGAATCTTCAATATTTATCCTCTGGTATAGGTGCAGAGGATGCAATAAGGCACCTACTGTGTGCGTGTTTGTGGGTGGGTGAGTGGGTGGGTGGGTGTGGTCATGAAATATCATATGCGTATTTATCCCCAAAATAAAAATTATCCAAATAATAAGAATTGATAGGATTGGGGGCCAAAACGTCCATATTTATTGACTAGGTTAGCAATTTGTGCCATCGATATTGTGAACAATATACATATTTACAATGCAATTAAACTTTGGTCTTGAAATGTTGTTTAAGATGAAAAGGCTAAGGTCAAAGCCAATACCACAGGTCAGTACAATGATTTCGGTTTTTGAATATGTGGCCACAGTGTAAATTTTAAAACGTGACGTTAGATGTTCAATTACTAGTGTACATGTTAAAATAATAAAGGAAGCTACTTAAGTTTGGAAGGAAAATTCAAATGAAGCCCATGAAATAAAGCTGTATTAAATTAGACCTTGTTCGATTACTTCTATTTCAATCAATTAACTTATAATTATCTGTAATCTGCAATTATTAACCGTAATGCTCATATCATCTCTTTATGTAATCAAGTATTTAAAAGATTACCTTCTCAAATCTATTTCGAATTAAAATTTAATATGAAGATAACGAACAATAATCAAGTCCAAAAGTTCACTGAATCAATATAAATTGGGAGCAGAACAAACATGGACCTCTATAAACATCAGAGGTGGGATCAGGTACGACGGAGAAATAAGCACACCTGTGTACCGGTCACACCTGCCGTGTACTCCTTATCGTGATCGGGCAAACGGAAAAATCCGTAGACAATTCAATGTGATAGCAATGTCCTAACAATTTGTATGAAAAACATCAGTCAACATTCCAGTTAGATTGTATTTGCTTACAAGGTCATTGTGTCAACCATATAATTTCCGAAATGTTGACTTTCAATGAGACTGTCGATATCCGTGTATCATCAACTTATTTCTCAATAGCTTGCCTCGTTTTAGATATATTTCGGACGTAGAGCAGGTTTATTGAATCAGCTGGGAGACAGAGAGTCCATTATATGCAGATAATAATGGTAAAGTCTATCCAAATAATAGAAGTTGTCTATGATAGAAAAGTTGAAGTCATCACGTTTATCATAAACTTTTGTTGTTAGTTTGCCATTAATGTCTTTCTCCAGTAAAATATACAAGATCCTCTAAAATACAATTATAGTGTTCCAAGAAATTATTGAGAATTTTTAAGTGAAATGTTTTTTTCTTCAAAATATTATAAAAATAAAGTATTTTTAGTTTGAAGTTCGTGTTTAATCAAATAACAATACATGTACTTGCTACTTTCTTATTTTATATGAAGGTTTCATGAATAACTTTCTATCTTTCTTGAATAAATTTCTTTCTTTCTATACTTTCAGTCGATTGCTGATGTTTAAAATGAGTGCTTTTCAAAAAAGAAAGCCTATTGTAGATGTTTATCATCAAAGAATCACAAAACTAGTGATTAACTTCTGAAATACTGAGTATTTCACTGTCTACTATTGATTCACGTGGGACAAAATATTGAAAAATGGAAAGGAATTCGACATAGGGAAAGAGCTGGTATGGCTGGGAATGATACCTCATTTTTCTACACTTAGTGTTGTTCTTACTGAGCAAATATCCAAGCATTTGATCTATGAATGTTAGTATACTAGGCCTACAAACTCTTTTCCTTATCCGAATTCTTCATCTTTTTTAATATTTTGTACCACGCAATACAAAGTAGACTGTGAAATACTCGGTGTTTCAGAAATATCACTAGATTTAACGATCCCTTACTCATACATAGATTAAATAGGCTTTCTATTTTCTAAAGCTGTAAATATGAACTTCAGCAGACAACAGGAAGTATATAAAATAAATAGGAGGCTATCCATGCAAACTGCATGTATCATTAGGAAGCACAGGGTATTGTCATGAAATAAAACAGTAACATTTGATTGTATTGTATGTTATTCATCAAGTAGTTCAGACAAATGTATCATAAAAATTGTCAATAATTTCTGGGAACACTGTATAATAATGAAGATTACAAAGAAAGACATTGTAGTTATCTGCTCTGTCACCTTGGACAAGTACATATTGATTGTGTATTCTATCTAGTTCTTTTTTTTCATTTCTGAATTATTGAAGACAGAAGGATAGATAGTTTAGATAGTTTTCAAATTAATACCTTGAAATTAGTAGTAGCGCTTATTTATTATATTGACATGTGTTTGGTTGAATAAAATATTGCAATCCTAAATTTAAAAAAAACACACACGGCCCTTTTAAGGCCTATATTGTCACCTAAGTCGAATAATATACATCAACTGAGATTGAAATATAAATGTATTTACAACGGACTGTATTTGAAATCTTGAAAAGAGTCTTGATTTTGAGTGAACTTTCTGTCTATATAATAAGAATCGTATACATTTGATGTTAAACTGAATTTTGCCGAATTGACTGTAAAATTTACACCCAACTCCAGGTCATAATACAAGATAGAAGCACATAGGCATTGTAACTATGAATGATCTTATGTCACATTGTAAGTCTTGAATTTACTGGGTGTAATTAAATATGAAATATTATAGCATGTAAACTAGTCATTATGGTGTAAATTTGTATAACACCCCCACCCTTTAAATGAAAGAATTACAACGTGATATTTGGATTCTTCTCACCTTCCCAAGATGTCCCGTTGTCAATAGACCGGGAGCATGTGTTGTCTCCTCTGGAAAACATAAAGAACATTCCTAGATACATCTTATATAGTCATATATAAATCTAGCGTCAAATATAAACAAATATATGTACAAAATACTTTAAGTTACGAACTTACTCTACTCCATTCTTGATACAAGCAAACATTGTTTCTGCCATTGTGTCTTTGAGCAAAGATCTCTCAGACACCGGGAAACTCGGACTACTCATTGCTGTACCTATAACAATTTTGAATGTATTATTACAGAAATACATAATAGCATTCTGAGTGAAACATAAGACGAAGGAAAATAATATCAAAGGGATATCGAATATTTGTATGAGAAAGGGACATAAAAAAAAGCTGGTTCTTCTAATGAATCGTTCAGTTTAAGACTTGGCAAAACATAACGACATTCTGTTTTATTTATTTTTAAAACTTTTAAAAAAATTTAATTAATTTTTTTTTAAATTGTTATTGTTTTCTTTGTTATGTTTGTAGACTACAATAACTAAATTACATTAGTAAATTATTGTCATTTAACGACCATTTAATACCTCTGTCAAGATAGATTTTAAATCCACATAGTTAGCTTTAACTTTTATACCACTTAAAGATAATGTAGTAATACTATATTAGATCATTTTGCATTCTTACTGTTGACATCGTTGGTGCTCATCTTGCACCCTTCAAATTCCACTCGAATGACTGGATCACATGGCCTAAGTTTCCCGGATGTAGGAACAATTCTGACATTTGCTGCTGTAAATATCTCCGAATCATCCAATGAAAATCGATAAGCGTCATTAACAGTCTTAGTGCTATCATCAAAAGCAACAATGAAGGACTAAAAAAGAAGAGTTAAAAGTCACTGCATTGTAGTGTTTATTATTAAATACACATGTAGGTTCTAAAATTAATCAAATATTTATTTAGTAGATTATTACCTTAATTTCCGTATTGTTGTCGGTTACATAGGTCCAAAAAATTCCGTCATCACTATACTGGACTGTCATATTAGTGACGTAATCATCATTATCATTTCCGGCTGACAGCACCGAAAAGGCGATAATTTTCATTCTATCTATAAAGTGTACCTGACAAAAAAGATTCAATCATTAAGAAATTGAAAAAAGCCAAATTATTGAAATGATGCTGAAGTAAAAGCCTTGGAGACGTTGAAGACGGCACGTACCATTACAAACTCATTTTGACAAAAAGGTTTGCCTCGTTTCCTGGGCCTCCATCCTGTGCCTGATGATTTTTTGACATTGACAGCCAAGTTTTTTTCAGATGATGCAGATATCTGGGAATCAGAGATGACATCTGTATCTGTCCCAATAATCTTATTGCAAACTGAAATTTGAATTATACATATTATTACTATGTGTATTCATAGTCTAGGTAGGGTTGATTGCCAGTTGCTAGTATGTTTGTGTTTTTAGATAAATATATTTGCCTTCTGAATTAAATCCAAACTCCACTATATCTAATAATGTGTTGTGTACATTAATATCCGCTCGATCTGGTCTTTGAAATGACATGTAAGACACTTCTGCCGGAATGACTGTGTGGATATTCATGCGTCCGGACTCAAATTCCGAGTTTGGATCTATTGTAATGTTCAGTGAAAAGGTGGGGAAATCCGTAAATTTTATGATGGGATACTGAAATAGAATTGAACTTTCAAATTAAAATCCAATTACAGGACAACAAAACTCATCGAAGAAGGCAGATTCTATCTGGCTCTGCTGACGAGCTTGTACGATTCTGTATTTAATCCAATATTTGCAACAATCACTCGACCATCCCCAATCTTACGACACTGTGACGTCATAAGAACTATCTAAGAGGATTGATGAATTAAACTGCTGTCAACTCCGTGTAGTGGAATGAATGTTCACTACTGATACCTTAATCGTATCACTGTGGAAATATACTTTCAAAAGTTATCACTGTACTGTACATACAGCCCAAGTGGTGCATAAAATATCGCAGTGGAACAACAATCATGGCTTTATATATCATGTCAAAATTAAACAATTATGGCTACTAATTTTGACGTCGTCAAACCAAAAAAATATATAATTACTATTTTGCAAATCTAATCAATAGGTATTAAGAAATTTTTCTGTCAGAATGACAATACATATTAGCGTAAATTTACATTTTGATGAGATACTGCATTTAATAAACCACTCGAAAAATTAACCCTTCAAATACCGTTAAATCAACGCCACCAGTTGCTGTAACTGTCACGCTGGGTTGGAGCACTGTCCACTCATTGAGAGCAAAGAAAACTGTATACGATGGCAACAGGAAGTGCACGACAACAGAAGAAGCATGTGCCCTCGATGTGTTCACCAGATTAAGCAATCCATACAATTTAAGTTCGTGCCTAAAACAATGAAGTGATTGTACATTTTTGCATTAAACTGTCAATCAACTTTTCAATTTTCAACTTGATGGACACACTCTTCAGAAATGTAAAGTACCCTGAGAATATTTGTGTGTGTGGCACAGGGTCTGTCCAGGTGTCGAATTCTAGCTGTGCAGCCTCAGTACCATCCACTTGTATGGTCACTTTTCCAGAAGTTGTGGCGAACCCTCCGTTCTCACCTTGCACTGCGATATTGAAGGACTGAACAGATCCGTGCGTATTTCCACTGTGATCCGTTACTTGAAAAGTGAAGGCAATTTCTACCACGCGGACTAAATCATCTAAAAGAAATAAAAAATATATAGAAAAAGAGACGCAACTTCTAAAGAGTAAAGACAAATGGGTGAATCTATCATTGATTAATACCAGTGTTAGAGAGAACCCCCAGATCAACCGTCATTTGAGTCATCTGCGTTGTTGACAGATCTGAAGTCGATGTGGTTCCAAGGGTTGTGTTTTGGGAACAACCGATGCCTGTTTCAGAAGCTACATGACTGGCATTCACTATAGTCAGATGTGCCTCTCCTGCAGAGTGGGGCATTGTTAGCGTCATGGTGTATCGATCAGTGGTTCTTGGTAGTTCAAGTTTAACACCCCACGTCACGTACTCGCTGATAGACGCATACACCACTCCAGCAGACGGGGGGCTACTGGTGACACCGATATTTGTGTTGACCTATTAAGTAATGAAGTACTGAACATTATCCCAATTTTTTTTGAAATCCGGTTTTATATGATTATTTATCAATGTCCAGAAAGGAGATTTTTTTTTCTCAGAACACTGAAGACTTACACTGTCTGGTGTGGAAACGACTGTAATAGTGGCTGAGTCGGACACGGTCTGGGACACACTGTGGGTTAACACTATACTGCAGGACAAGGACTCTCCTACACTTACACTGGCATCATTTGCAATGCCTAATGTTACTTGAACGACAAACTTAAGAAAAAAAAGAACATACACTAAGCAACGCTAATTGTCTAAAATCGTGTGAAAGTAAGGGTGTTTCTGAACAACAGTTATATAAAATCTTTCCATGAAATGATTTAGAATATGCTTACCATATTAGCATCTTGCTGATGTGTAGATCCATCTGGGCTCCAGTTGATGACGTTGCCGATCTGAATTGATGCTGATTCGTAGGTAGAGTTATCTGCGCTTTTTACAAATGATGTATTTGTTACGTCGTCAAGGCAGACATGCTTCATCCTCGAAATGATTTTTACGCCACATACATGTATTTTACCAACAGTGGTCGGAATAAAATCCAGTTTATAGTCCGTGTTTGAATTAGGGGATGTGTATACTTTGACGTTGGCAGATACTGTTGACCCTTTTATTGCATTACTTCCGGAGGGATAATCTACTTGAACAATAGGTGCAATACTCTAAAAAAAATATATTTTATAGTTTATCAGTGATATATTATTGATAAAGGTGCTTGATACAGCGACTATTTCTAAGATGTGTTAACTTGTCTTTCTTCTTATTCACTTCTTTCAAACAAGAGGCCCATGGGCCACAACGCTCATCTGAATCAATATTGTCCTGTTGTTATCCATCAGCAGTTTTTTTTCTATTATATATTCCTACGCAAAGCTTTGATCCCTCTGTGACCCTAACCTACTCCCAGGTGCCATGATTTGAACAAACTTGAATCTTCACTATCTGATGATGCTTCAATGTTCATATGACTAATCATGGATTTGCTATTCTTGGGAAGAAGATTTTTAAAGATGCGACCACCCTACCACTAAGGGGTCACAATTTGAACAAACTTGAATCTACATTATCTGAAGATACTTCCATAACAATATGACTAATAATGGTTTTGCTGTTCTTGAAAAGAATATTTTAAAAGATTTTTCCTATGTATGCTTATGTAAAACTTTGATTGCCAATTTTGGCCTCACCACACCCATGGGAGTAATGATTTGAACAAAATTGAATTTTTACTTCCTGAGGATGCTTTCATATAAATATGACTAATCATGACTGTTCCTAGGAAAAAGATTTTTCCCTAATGTATGTATTCTTATGTAACACTTTGATCACCCATAGTGGCCCCACCCTTCCCCAGGGGTCATGATTTGAACAAATCTGAATATGCACTACCTGTGGACGCTTCCATTTAAATATGACTGACCAAGGCTTTGTTGTTCTTAAGAAGACTATATTTTAAAGATTTTTCCTATTTATAACCATGTTAATATTTGATCACACATAGTGGGCCCACCATACCCCCTGGGGACATGATTTGAACAATTTTAAATCTACATTATGTCAGAAAGCTTTCACTTAAGTTTCATCTTTTCTATCCCAGTGGCTTTTGAGAAGAAGATTTTTAAATGACCCCACCGAATTTTTATTATTTCTTAACTATCTCCCCTTACAAGAGGGCGTGGCCTTTCATTTGAACAAATTTGGATCCCCTTTACTCAAGAATACTCTGTTGCATGTTTGGTTGAAATTGTTCAAGTGATGCTGGAGAAGAAAATAAAATTGTAAATAGATTACGACGACGACGCCAACGACAGACAACAGACAAATTTTGATTAGAAGAGCTCACTTGATTAAGCCTTTGGCTCAGGTGAGGTAAATGCTGTATATTGAACACAAAGCACCAAGACCATAAAGTGATCAACTCTTGTATTTACGACGCATAGAGGGTTTTCAAATTATTCTGATAATGCTAGGACTTAGTTCTCCAATGTGACTTTATTCCTGCTTCGTGGATAATGAATTTAACAAATACGATTTATGTACTACGCCCATGCTTGCATATTGATTTGCAGTTTCCAAAAATCTTGCTCTAAAAACCATTTCAGAAGTCGAAAGATTTTCCTACACATTACTTTGTAGAGCTTTTATCTTACTACGGTTCTATCCCTTTTTTCTAGGTCATTATTTTGACAAATTTAAATTTTCACAACCTTTGAATCTTTTCGTAATATTAAGCTAAATGTACCTTGTGGTTCTATAAAAAAAACTATTCTAAAATATTTTTGTTACCTAAATATATTTTTAGAAAACTTTGCCCCCTTGTTTCTGACCCCTCCCGACACATCGTGCACTGTTTCATAATAATGGACAATTAGAGACTAATATGACCTTAAAAAATCAGTTGGAATTGAACGTGATGACAAGTACTATGCGAGTTACTTACAGTGTAAGTGTTACTGGAATTCACATAAATGCTTGCTGCCTTCGTTCCGGTGGCCCATTCATCGACATGTTCAATGTTTATATCAAAATATGCACTCCCAAGGTTAGGAAAGTCATACCCTTCACGTACAAGAGCAATAATTCCAAACTTGATAGTACTGTCTGCTGCTGATGGTGACTCACCTATAATAACAATTCTGTTTTTAAAGTGCCAAAGTAAAGTGCATTTTCATTCAAAGTGAGAAAGATAAGATGGAGACAACCTACCAGAATTAGTAACAGACGGCAGATTGAAAGTAACTGCAGAATTACCACCTCCAGAGGAATATTTTGTTTTAGGCACCGTGACACCTTGCGAAGCACATGGTATATTTGCCCCGGCGAATTTAATAAAAATCGAACAGATGGACACTTCTGTATGAATAGCTGTTACAACAATCTGCATATGGGTAATGACACCGATCGGCAGTTCTGCAGAAAGATCTAACTCGGCTGCACCTCTGTTGGAGACAGCTATGACTTGGGGTGAGGTCAGGGAATAATGAATTGTCTGCAAATTTCCAGATAATTAAATAAGTTTATAAATTAAGTTACTATATTCATTTGAAAGTATTTGAAAACATTTTCTAAATGAATTGAAAAGAACCATACTGAAAGGAAAAAGAAATGCAGAGTAACATAATATGCCAAAAAAATGACTGCATGGCCGAAAATTACAAAAACTGGTCAGAAGGATATCTAGGTTCCTGTGCACTAAAATTAGTGTTCAGAATTAGTCAATCGTGAAATGTATGACGTCATGTAGGATAAGTGGTAAAAAGCCGAAAGCACGTGCATATTGATGACGATTTAAAGTTCTGTCAAAATACCTCGTAATACAAGTTGATGTACTTGATACTCGTTATTTACAGACAATATGAATTTCTTGCAAACATGGTACAGCTGACGGAAGTTTCATGGGGTTGGCTATTGCATTGCCTAAGTAAAGAAAAGGCAACAACAGGTTGCTGTGCAATTTGTTGTGAATTTTTTTCACCATAGAACGTATTACCCGTCGTCAGAGAGGGCCTGGAAAGGTTTTCAACCAATGATGATGACGTTGACGCGTAACAACGCCAAGTCAAGACCAGGCTTTTCATCCTGCCACCTGCATAATAACCACCTCACTACTACTCAAACTGCTGTTAATACAGTAATCAATCATAATCGTTACATTCACCCAAAAACTGAAAATTGCGCGATTTTGGTATGTGAGTTCGTCAACTTCACGCTAGTGTTCCTATCACTCGCGCACGCGTGCGTCGTTTGCCTAATTTGTTTGTCACGTTAACCCCCGGCCGAATGTAGCCAGGGTTTGCCGAAAATTTCTTGCAAACAAACACATATACCCTCTCGACTGGTCTCCGTAAAGTCCATCTTTTTCTCATCGAACATCTGTGGGACTAAGGGACTAAATGGACGATAGGGTTCGAGATCTAAAGCTGGTCTTGATCAACTAAGGGCTGCCTTGTCGGAAGGGTGGAATAATATCCCTATTAGAAGGATAAACGCACTGATGATATTCATGCAGAGGAGAATCAAAGCTGTGACAGGTGCTGAGGGAGACATGGGAGATAATGAGAATTTTCGATTTTCACTTTTTAGGGGTACGTCATATGAGTTTCAATAACTCATGAATTATCCCTCAAGATCTACTGAGATTTTGGTTACATTTTTATTAAAGATGATTTTAAATGTAAGATAGGACTAGTGGAAAATACGTTTGAAAAAATAACATTATTTCACCTCAAACATTTATCTTGTGTCTCCTTTTCCTTTCAGTATATATACAGATGTATTAATCACAGGTAAAATGTAAGCTCATTTTACTGGTTCACTTACTGAACTTGGATAAGAGTTTACAGAATTAACTATAGAGGAGATGTAGCCTTCCCACACTCCATCAGTGTTATAAGTTACTGATGCATTGGTTATAATAGAATCACCGTCTACAACTGCATCATCTAACAAGGAAATGATGGCACGTGCTGTAATAGTTACATCCTGGTTACCAGAGTTTTCTAAAGATCCAAGATTTACATATCCACTATCATGCACATCAGAACGAGCTGCATTCTTTATATATTCGGCCGAGGAAATCTTACTGCAAGTGACGTTACCAATTACAAAAACAGAAACAGAGCAGAGGGAAGTCTTGGCTATAATGCCATTTCCGGTCATGAAAGAGACGTTGATATTCTTGTAGTATGTGCTCGGGGAGAGAGTGAAAGACAAATCATACACAGCACGTCCTCTTGGTAGAATGTTGGAATATCCATTTCCATACGTCAGTGTAATAGCAGGTGCCTGACAAAAGACATGTTATTTAAGAAATTGCAATTATTTAGATAACAAGAGGTCCATGGGCCACATCGCTCACCTGAGCACATTGGCTAGGAAAAAGAACAAATCAGTTAAGTATTGAAAAGTTTAAGGGGGGGGGGGGCTTGAATTTTAAACTACCTGAGGATGCTTCCATATCAATATAACAAATGGCTTTGCTGTTCTTGAGCAGAAGAATTTTAAAGATTTTTTATTATATATTCTCTTGTTCAAATTTGATCCCCCATTGTGTCCCCTGCCTAACCTCCCCTTCCCCGGGGGGGGGGGGGGTCATCATTTGAACAAACTTGAATCTACTCTACCTGAGGATGCTTCCAATATGTCTAAACATTGCTTTTCTGTTCTTGAAAAGATTTTTTCCTATGTATTCCTATGTAAAACTTTGATCCCCCATTATGGTCCCACCCTAACCCGGGGGGGGGGGGGTCATGATTCGAACAAAGTTGAATCTACACTATCTGAGAATGATTCCATATCAGTATGACTTAACAAGGCTTTGCTGTTCTTGAGAAGAAGATTTTTCAAGTTTTTTCCTATATATTCCTATGTAAAACTTTGATCCCCCATTGTGACCCCACCCTACCCCCAGGGGCCATGATTTTAACAAACTTGAATCTACACTACCTAAGGATGCTTCCATATCAATATAACCAATCATGGCTTTGCTGTTTATGAGAAGAAGATTTTTAACGATTTTTTCCTATATATTCCTATGTATAACTTTGATCCCCCATTGTGAACCCACCCTACCCCCAGGGGGTCATGATTTTGACATACTTGAATCTACACTACCTGAAGATGCTTTCACATGGGTTTCATCTTTCCTGGCCCAGTGGTTCTTGAGAAGAAGATTTTTAAAAGATGCTATTAATTTTTCACTAATTTGTAATTATCTCCCCTTGGAAGAAGGCATGGCCCTTCATATGAACAAACTTGAATCCCCTTTACCCAAGAATACTTTGAGGCAAGTTTGGTTGAAATTGGCACAGTGGTTCTTGAGAAGAAGTCGAAAATGTGAAAAGTTTACAGACAGACGGACAGACAGACAGACGGACCGACGCCGGACAAAATGTGATCAGAAAAGCTCACTTGAGCCTTCGTCTCAGGTGAGCTAAAAAGTGCACTGAATGTAAAATACAAGTAGTTGTTTCAGATTACAATTAGTATAAAACCATACAGTTACGATGTTTTTAGTAGATCGTGTAAAGTTAATGTAGCTCTATTGTGTATATTGTACCGCTGTTGTTGGTGTCCCTGCCACAACATTCACTACAGTACTCTGGAGTGGCTCAATGACGGATCCGTGCTGCAGTTCACCGTTGATGGTGATGGTGTCACCAGGATTTAAATTACCCGTGTTGACGTAACAGATTGTGACAGATACACCGACGGTGTTGTTCACAATACCAGCATTCAAAGCCATATTGGTAATGATGCCAAGGTCAATGATGACCTTATCGTTTAAGTTGTTGTTTTCCTAAGCAAGAGAAAGTAACAAATCAACATTCTGACAAAACTAAGAAAAAATTTTTACTGTGAGGCATAATTTTTTTTTATTGTAAATTGCTTTGTCAGAAAACATTCGAAGACTTTACAGATTGACTTACACTGCTAACGTAAATGGTGTTAAATGAGTTGACACTACACATGATATTACTACCAACAGTACCAAGTGAAACATCGCAAATGTGCACAAGCTTATCGGTTGGAGTAGGGTTCATAATTGTGATTAAATAAGTTTCCGTCTGATTCACGATAGTTGTCAATTCAACATCTATCCTCTCTTTACCACCTTGATAAATTGTCGATGAATGAGGTAAAAGAGTCATTATCGGTGTTCCAGGCTGTTAAATGATATATATATATATATATATTATATGAAGTTATCAAGAAATTGTTCCTATCAGAAACTCTTTATTACGGTATTATTTGCATAATAAAATTAAATAAAGAGACTCATGTCTTAATTTTTCTATTTATAAATTTTTAATATTCAGTTATGTCATATGTGCTTCTTTTTCAAATCTTCCCAACTCCTGAACCTTAATTTACATTTATTTCAGTACACAGTTTTTTTTACAATCATACGTACAGCTTGTGGAATAGCAACACTCGAGGCTGTAACATTGTGTTGATATGTGTACGTGACGCCACTGAGATCAACATTTACTGTGAAGCTGTAATTTTGACCAATCACCGCTGATGTAGGTATTTTTCCATAGACCAAAAAAGTGAAGTATTTTTCAGCATTAGCAGTAACGTTATAATCTACAAAAAGGAAAAGAAATATAAGCAAAACGGTAGAGACATCTACAGAGTTGAAATAAAGGAAAAAAGTGCACATTACCTGTGTTGAAGACCTTTCCAAAGGAGAACAAGTATCCACCACTGCCAGTGGCGCTCGGAGTTGAAGATATCTGGGAGACGTTGTTACATTTGTAAGCATCCCCTGGTTAGTAAAACAGACACTGTTGAATGTTTAGTTATTTTCACTTCTACTGCTGACTATGTAGCAAGAGATATGTGTAACGATCTACGTTTATTTGATATCAATGTTAATATTAATGTTACTGTTCTCTAGAAAGTCATTCATTGCAGTAACTCATTCAATGAAGTGACTGTAGTGTACATTTAGCTGTATTAGAGTCATTTCTTTCTGGTAACCCCATCGTGTTACATACTGACATTGCTGAAAATATCTCAATGAGGGTTAAAAAGGTTAGGTAAATCAGATAAACTGATGTATTAACTGCTTTTCATCAGGTAGATTACTACTAGCATATTCAATTAGAAACTATATAAATGGATGTGTTTGCTTGCAATTTAAATTGGTGCTAAAACAGTTCTCATGCACCAGATCAACAATCAACGTGATAGTATGGGGAGTACTTTACCATGTCCGACGTAAGAGGCAGAACATAGGTCAACAGAGTTAGGCACGGTACCAAATATTTCTACCGACATGTCTGCATGTGGATGAAGAATAAATGTTTTTACTGTCCAGGTCCCCACGACGCTCGGATTCAGACTCGCAGGTCCATCTACTGTCATCAAAGGGTCATTTGGTGCATTCTAGAACATAACAGAGACATTTCAATAAATTCTTTTTTATGAAAATCAAATAACTTCTGTTAATTTTTTTTTTACTTACAGCAAAACTTCTGATCATGAATTCCTTTTCAAGCACCATCCATGTTGAATTATTCCAAACTATATCTGCAAAAATTTTGATTGGTTGATCAAACAGGGTGTCACCTGGATCCATTACGTAAGCGAAGTATTCAATGACGATGTCGTTGGCTTCAACTGTTGTTGTGTCACTGCCGTCGTTGGTAACGATACCAAGGTCAACCTCAAGCATATCCTTGACCTAGGATTAAAGTTAGTTAATAGGAACACAATTTGAATAATGATTGTGGTTGACACATGCTTTTATAGTAGGTATACACTTAAACACTTTTCCTTCAAGGTTAAAGAAAAACTTCTAAAAACTGGACTGTACCTGTGGTTCATTTGATGATGTCAGTATGGTGGTGTACTGATCAGGACTCCATCCAAAGAAATTACTCCCAACAAATGTTACATCTGGGTCACAGAAGAAAAACATTGGACTGTTTGTGGCCGTCTTATCACTGTTTATTTTTGCAGACATAAAACTACTGCCCTCAGGAATAGATATTGTTAAAGATATAGGAAGAAAATTGTAAAAATAAACATCAGACGTCACGTTGGCAATTTCTCCAGAAGTTAACGTCATCACTGCGGTCACATTTCCGGGAATAGATGACTGCAAGAAATAATTAACAATCTGTAGTGGACGACACTACAACAAGGTATAGTATGCAAAATTTTCAAAAAAATTAGAATCTAGCTTTTTTTTTATTTTACCAGTAAATATTTTTAGCATACCACTTGTCTTTTATATCTAAAATGTGAGTTTTTCATCACTCCTGTCTGTTCTTCAAAAATTTCTTCTCGCCAGTTGTAAATGTTAGGAACATTTTCCATAATGAATAAATGCGTTTCTAAATTTTGAATTGGTTTATCTGTGACATATATTTTCACTTTTGCATGCCCAGTGTGGGTAGCTTGAATGTCAGGATAGCCAAATTCATCATAATTATATGCTGCAATATTTAAAACAATGATATCTTCTGTCATAACGTCATAGGAGAGATCTCCCGTGTCGTGGTTAATTTTAAAATCCCCAATGTTGGAGGAGACGTTTATTAGTCTGTGAATAATTTTAGAACAATAACACTGGGAGAAGCCTGCCTCAGCACAGCTACTGGAGTCTTGGTCTGACGCTGCCACACCGCGCAGAACTCCGCGAGAAAAAGTCTCCACTTTTGCTACGAACGTTTGGTGGACATACTCAGGAGCATACAAGTTGCCTAAAAGATTTAAAAATTCGTCGGATGTGAAAAAAACATATAGAGAAAATTTTCTGATTGAATGTAATTGTTATAATGACGTTTAAAAAAATTATCACACAGAGGATAAATCAGGAGACATTTATATACGGTTTTCTATTACATGAAGGATTTCATCCAGAGTGCTAAATTATTCACTAAATTAAATGAAAAACTTGATAAGGATGAAGAAGCAAGTTTTAATGTACATACAATGAACAGGTTGAAGATAACGAACAGTGATCGATCTAAAAAAACCTACAATAAATATAAGCATAAAACACGGATCAGGTGCTTAGAAGGAGTGAACATCCCCTGTCGACTTGTCACATTCACAGTGAGCCTTATATGTATTGTTTGTTTCTTTAACGTCCGTTTCCCTCATATTGAGCCGGTGGAGGGCTGCAAATTTTTTACCTTTACTCAGTACTCAGGGTCATCGAGCAGTTAGGGATCTTTTCCGTATCACCAGCTACTGCGATACGGGACCTCGGTTTATACGGTCTCATCCGAAGGACCTGTCTCCACGTCTCTCAGTGGGATTTGAACCTGAGACGTAAGGATTAACTCCTTACTCTGCAACTCTAACCACTGCGCCACACGGGCGACCTCTTACGTATTGATCAGGTTGACGGAATATTTAGTATAAAATAAAAGGTCTAACAATTGGTATGAAATATTTCAGTAAAAATACGACCCATTGGTTGGTTATATTTGCTAACGAGGTCAATATAAAGACCATAGAAATTACGAAATGCTGACTTTAAAGAAGGTTGTTGAAATTCCTTTTACATTAACTTATCTGTCAGTAGTCTGCCTCGGTTTAAAACTTGATTGTACTCAGAGCATGCTCTTCTGTATAGAATAAGTTGGGAAACATAAAGACTAAATGCAGGAGATAGCGGGAATATTACTACATAAACGAGGAAAAATGACGATGGAAAGGCTGAAGTCATCTCGTTTCTCATACAGTTTAGTTGCTAGTTGGTCCTTATCGTCTATAGTCAGTTAACATCCAAAAATGAAACAGTTGTAACAGACTCATAGTGTCTTTTGTTTCGAGTTCACTGGGGAAAAATATCGAGTTGACATATGAATGGAAGTAACTATTGTTGATAATATCTGAATGTCAAGGCCCCAGCAAATGTTTTCTTCTTCTCATGTAGAAATTTTTGAATAAATTCTGCTTCATAGAAATATAAAAACAGGTCAGTTAATATAGGAGCATAATTACTTGTAGTGCCCAACCGAATTCCAACGGGTTTGTTTTGGAAGACCTGTCTCCAAAGACTACATAGATGTTGTCAACGAGGAACTCCAGCATCCAGCATCCCTTTAATATCAGAGTACTTGTGTGGAAGCAGAGTGATTTTTAACAAAGCACATTTTTGATTTCCAATCACAAGATATTTAATTTTCCGAGTTCCATTTCTTTTTCAAGAAGCAATTTTTCTATTCTATGATATTAAGAAGCCTAGTTTTTATTCGAACATCATTTTCAAAAAATTTTCAGTCTCAACTGGTTGATCTATTTTCTACTTCAAAATAAATTACTCGTATTTCTAAAGAAAATTATGTATAAGTATATGGGAAATTCACGATTTTTTCTGTTTGAAATATTTTTTATTGAAATAAGTTAATTTTTTATGAATTTTTTATGAGTATTTTCAGCTATTTAATTGATAATTATAGATTATGAGGGATATTCTTCCATGGAAAGTCAAAATAAGAACATAAAAGTGATCCAAATGCAAAAATCAATCAGTTTGGATCTTTGAATTCTGTATAATGCATGGTATTATCGACCTGAGAAAAGTAAATTGTACTCCTACTTCGTTTTTTTTGTCAATACTTATGTGCTTTAATAAACACATAGATTTAACATTCTATCAGTATGTAAGAGTGGGACGTGCCTAATTTATGACCTTGTCCTGTCCTTGAAGAGTTATTCTACTTTGCTTTTAATCAATAAAAATCATTTCAATTTTTTCTATGTAAAACCTCGTTTTCAGTCATTTAAATACATCTCTCACAACAGCATTTATGGACATTCTTAGTATTGAAAATTTTAATTTTCAAAAATTTACTTGTCCCTATAGGACTCAATCTTAATTGATTAATTACTACGTATATAAATAATTACATTTTTGAAAATTTATCTTGGTAAATTTTTTTCTTCTCTAAAATGCTTCAGGGTATTTAAGGTTAGAAAATTAGGTCCTAATACGGGCCGGTTACTTCAAAGGTAAAGGCTCATTCAGTTTTTTAATTAAAAAGACTGTTTATGCACACACTTAAACAAATCAAAACATCAAATGTCATTACAAACAGCGATGTGTATTTCTTTACAAGCAGAGAGGAAGGAGCTTCAATTTGAAACATGAACCTAAATTAATACACACTTTAATAATTTCATATTTTCCTCTCTAAAATTGACAAAAAAATCTTCATTTTTTTTTTACACTTGTGATGTTTAAAATGTATAATTATAGTTAACAATTATACACTTCATTTTAGTTTTAGAAGAATCGATTTATTTATTAAAACTGAGAAACAACATTAGTAATTTACTCATTGTCATTCGATAAATTTCAAAATTAAGTAGTATTTGTAAGAACAACATGCAATAAAGAACTATATGCCTCTTTCTTTTGATTCAAGTCTTCTGTGAATGAAATAAAGTTAATTAAGGTACACGTTTTGTTAACTTCACACTGATTTTTTTCCAGTATTTTATTGTATCTTCCATTCAAACAAATTACGGACTAAGAGCGTCTGTTTCTAAAGCCTATGATCAAAAGTTGAATTTGATGCTGTGGTAAAGTTTGCCAATCCTGACGTGTTGCGTGACTAAGATTATAAAATGTTTGAATTGTCGTTGCCATTTGACAAACTTGGCGATTATGTCCAAGATGTGCTCAGAAGGGTTTAAATTCAGACATAGAGCAGTTCATGTCAGTGTTGCAACAGGTCATGTCAGTGATGCAACTGATTCTCAAAGCGAAAACCCTAAACAGCACGAGCACAAAGTGGTCTTACATTGTCAGTCATGGACACTTGATTTGTTCGTAGAGAATGATTGTCAAAATGAATCACATGCTTGCAGAAAGAACATCGTAATTTTGTGAATTCAGGTTGCCTTTAACTATGATAAAAACAATCTAACATCTATGGGAAACATTACCTTACCCTCTAACTGATTTACCGCCAAACAGATTGATTTAGCAATGTTTCGCTTAGCATATGTAGAACTTAGATGCCGCCAGATAAACGTTCGTATGGCACGCCGATTGCTTCAAAATTATTTTCTGCACGACCAAAAACAAAAATTACACGAGTAAGTAAAAACTTACACAAAGTGAGGAAAATATACACGAAGCTATTGAAATTTACACAAACTATAGAAAAACTGCACAATCAACAAAATATTTACACGATATAGTGAGGAAATTACACAAACGTAAAAACGAAAACTGCACGAGTGAGAATACAACATCGACATAATATGCTACGCATCCTCATTGCGCACATTTCATTAATATTCATTAGAGAACAGTTCAATGTGGTTTGGATGCTTGAAACATACTATAAAATTTTTACAAAAGGAGGAGTAACGTGTTGGTAATCTTTTTAAAAAAGATTCTTTTAAAATTCCGCTAGACTCTCAAGAATATATGTACAACGTATATTATACATGTAGATAAATTGACAGACACACAATCTTAAACTTGTAGTATATGAACAACCCCGAATAAAAAACATTCTTCACAGAATACTTTTATAGATAACGTAAAAAAGGGGGATGCATATTACCAGTTGTGTGTTTAATTGTTGGATTTTTTAAAGTATGTCATTCCTCTATATAGCAATTTCTTTTGAAAGTTTAAAACAATGACATATAGGCCTAAATAAAAATAAATAAAAACATGTGATATAATACAGGAGAGTTAACAACAAATCAAACTCTTCTCCTCCACCACCTACTGTGTGTACTTTTGGTAATATTCAAGGATGTGCATGCGTGACCTTTTCATACAGAGATCCTTCCCTGCTGGTTCTGGAACGAAAGACACATGTACGCTAATCGATTTATAGCTATTTTACACACCAATAATACCTTTTGATTAAAGATTATATTACTAGCAATTCATAAAATTATTTTGAAGCAATGTTGCGATCATCTGGGTTGTGGAATTTGACCGAAAACTTTTTGGAATTTAAAGTCAACAGTAAAGAAAATCGAGCAAATATTAATTGTGCAACTTAAATTTTAATATTGAAACGCATATCTCACTTTTTGGTATATGTATGTAACAAAGTACATGTAGTACATGTAGTCTTAACTTTTGAGCAACGTGTGGTGATTTCATAAAAACTCCATGAAAATGTAGAAAAAATAATACAGTCGTTTTACTTATGTAAATTAAAGTTTAATTTATGTTGTTTTAATGTATCGGCGGTAGTCTCTTTTGAAGTTAAAATGCATATAAAGGAGTTAAGAAAATTTAAAGTTATAAAATACAGGCAAGTAGTATCGTTTTTGAAAGCGGGGGAGGGGGAAGGGTCAGATTTTTTTTTTGACAACCTACCGGAAAAAACAAAACAAGTATTTTCGAAACACATTATAATACCAAATTACTTTGATTTAAACTATCCTACAACAAAAGGAGGGGGCAACCAGCTTTTCAGTGGAAATTTACAATAGAAGTAGGTTATGTTTGGAAAAAAAAAAGGGGGGGCAGACCCCTCCTGATTCTACGTGCCTGAAATATTTTCTAAGAATTTAAGGGTACATAAAATATTCTATCGAAATCAGGATTGCAATTCAACTGAACTGTAACGATATTGTAAGACCAAATTCAAGAAGACATACAAGATGAACTTAATTAGCTGGGACTTGGCTACACATGCACATTTATTTTCAATGCAGATTTTGACAATAATAAACACACGGTAATAATTAAAACAAAGATTTCTTGAGGTTTATATTCATCATATGTTTTCTTATATTTATTCGTAGTCATGCTCGAAGTAAAACAAGACCTGGTTGATGCCATTGATACACATGTAGAATATTGCTATAAAGCAAACTTTTTAATTATTTGTACATGTATACGTACAAAATACAAATTGCATAGATTAGGCTTTTTAACTCATAATCTGATTTTTCAAAAACGTTAGATATGCACATGAATAGTCTTTTAAAAAGTGAATCTTGTATCAAATATGTTCCTTGAATGTTATTGAAGATTATTTTCATTTTATAATTATACAGTCATGACTATAGATTTGGGTAAAAAAGTGTTAGCCTATATTACAAAAACTTAGTGTTCAGAAAATAATTAAAATTTTATGCATACGAATTCGAAATGTAAAGAGAAATTGTTGTCTTGGAAAATATTTGTCAAACCTCGAGCTCCGTAAAGAACATGATTTTAATTTTATTTGCATTATTTAAGAGTGATACAACACATTCTTTGTTCTTTCTATTTATTATAATATCCATTCCCATTTTCTTATTTGTAACATTGTACGTAGATGTATTTAGTAATTCACTATGTTTTAAAATTTCTGATGTGTCATTATGGTCCAACGATTTGAAACTTTAATAAATACACAGATTCAGATGTTGCTACTCTATCAATCCACGAACCAGATCGATCCGCCACTGATGATATGTTTTACCGGTGCCAGGATCATTTGAGTAGAGTTTTGTTATTTCATTTGGACAAATTTTAAGTAACAAAACACAAAACCGCATGTACTAAAGCACTTAGAGTATATATATTTTCCCTTTATCTGTTCCTATTTATTAAAAGTGAAAACATTTATCAAGTAATCGCCATTACGAATGAGGGTAACGATTACCCTTAGGAATGTCTTGTTTTTATTGAGTAGTTTATGACTGAAAATATGCGATATCATGGAAGGAATTCATAACAGTGTAGGCTACAGATGTCCAACCAAAATTGATATTCTCATATTTTATAAGTAAAGATACATGTATAATTAGAAATAAAATATTTTTTATGTTTGACTTTAAAAACATACTGTGTATATCTAAGGTCAGGTAATTCCCACTTTTTAATCTTTTTGAAAATAACAAGAGGCCCACGGGCCTTATAGGTCACCTGAGTATCATGTATCAACTTTGCCATGAGCCCTGCCCTAACACCAGAACCTTGACCCAGGGGACATAAAATTCACAATTTTGGAAGAGGCACCCTTACATATCATAACTATTCTCTTTATTCATCAGCTTAATACCCAGGAGAAGATTTTCAAAGAATTATTGCATTTTTTACAACGTAATCATTAGAGCCCCGCCCTAACACCAGAACCCCTGACCCAGGGGCCATGAAATTCACAATTTTGGAGGAGGCATCAGTTCTCATCATAACTGTGCATTCAGTTTGTTTGCTAGATACCCAGGAGCAAAGAAGATGAATGCATTTTCACTAAATATTCAACAGAGCCCTGCCCTAACACCAGAACCCCTGATCCTGGGGCCATGAATTTCACAATTTTGGAAGAGGCACCCTTACTCATCATTATTATACTCGTAGTTCATCGGCTTAATACACAGAAGAAAAGGAGAAGATTGTCAAAGAATCATTGCATTTTTACTATGTAATCAGTAGAGCCCCACCCTAACACCAGAACCCCTGACCCAGGGGCCATGAAATTCACAATTTCTGGAAAGGCAACCATGCTCACCATAACTATGTTCTTAGTTTATTTAATACCCAGGAGCAGAGAAGATTTTCAATGATTTAATGAATTTTCACTATATAATCAATAGAGCCCCGCCCTAACACCAGAACCCCTGATCCTGGGGCCATGAAATTCACAATTTTGGAAGAGGAACTCTTGCTCATCATAACTATGTACTTAGTTACTTTATTTAATACCCAGGAGCAGAGAAGAAGATTTTCAAAGAATTAATGCATTTTCACTATGTAATCAGTAGAGCCCTGCCCTAACACCAGAACCGCTGATCTTGGGGCCATGAAATTCACAATTTTGGAAGAGGTACTCTTGCTCATCATAACTATGTACTTAGTTACTTTATTTAATACCCAGGAGCAGAGAAGAAGATTTTCAAAGAAATAATGCACTTTCACTATATGATCTATATAGCCCCACCTTAGCACCAGAACCCCTGACCCTGGGGCCATGATTTTCACAATTTTGGTAGATAACTCAATGCTTATTACAATCATGCCAACAGTTTGACTGCTTGATGTCCAGGAGTAAAGAAGAAGATTTTTAAAGATTGTATTAATTTTGATAGTTTTAGCCCCACCCCTCAGGCTCCAGGCCCCAGATTGCAATAGGTCACCTGAGTAAACTCAGGTGACCTAAAAAATATATCCAGTCAACTGAATAATTTCCTATATTCCTAAATGAAAAAAATCTGCCCAAATGAATTCATAATTAGTACAAATGAGAAGTACCAAAATAAATTCTACAATTTAATAATTATAATCAGCAATAATTCTGCCATCATTTTCATGAAGAATCCACGTTATTAATTGTTTTATTACGCATGTGTTAATTTTATTTTATACAAGTACTTTCCGTTAAAGTTGTATCTATAAGTTAGAGAATTTTAAAAGACAATAGAGCGTATTACTTTTAGTTCGGAGTCGAGTGCATCATATGCAATGGTACTTCCCCCCCCCCCCCCCCCCCCGCTTTATAACACAAACATGCAATTCCTTTCTTGTCACAATTTATGTCCGGCATCATATAATACCTCCATATCTTGGCTAGGATCTCGGTCAATATAAGAAAAATATAATATCTCCGAACAACTTTCAAATTTTTTCACACAGTTCACAAGAAAACTAGAAATCGGATCGAGCTTTAGCAAAGAAATAAAGAAGCAAACAAACATGCATACCATCGTCAACGCCATTTTCTCTCGATTACACCCAGCATTCATGAACAGATAAAGAGTACAGAAAACCAAGAACACAATGAATATTCTATGTGCATAATAATGATATGCGCAGCTGTATGCGCAGTAAAATTGTTTGTGTAATTTTTAGTTTCCTCTGCTCGTGCAGTTTTTGATTTTACGTTTGTGCATTTTATACCCCTTAATCGTGTAAAAAATTTCGGATTCGTGTATTTTTCGTTATGTTTGTGTTAAAATCTTTCAAACTATGTGCAATTTTTACCGATACGTGCATTTTTATTTTACTCGTGTATATTTTTCATCAAGCTCGTGTATAAAATCGTGATCGTTGTGCAGAAAATAATTTTGAAGCAATCGGCGTGCCATACGTTCGGCCATCTGAGATATGTACCAAAATGATACTCTCGACTGATCACAGACGGACTTTCCTCCGAAAGTATGAATCCAACAATGGCTAGCTTGACACAATTACATACATTCTGCATGTGGTTGAATGTAAGCAAGGGCCCCTATATTAATCTTCTTGCAGATAGCCAGATGACTTTAGTCAATTTCGCGTTGTTTTTCTTGAAAGCAAAAGATGTGGTAACCGCTCTCCCTTGTTCAAAATTGGGATGTCGCCCGCGTGGCACAGTAGTTAGAGTGCTTGCTCTAGGAGATGTTCCTTACGTTGCAGACACGGTAAAGATTCCTAAATGGTCAAAGGCCGTAAGTGCTGAGTACAGGTCTAAATTTGCAGCCCTCCACCGGCAAGTAGTGGCGTCTCAATATAAGTGAAAAATTCTCAAATGGACGTTAAGCAAATAAACAAAACAACATTGAGTTCTTGACAAAAACATTTTGTCTAATCATCCTTCTTTATATTGTCAATCAGATGTTTTATGGGGTCGTTAGATCTTGCACAATGCATTATCATTTGTACACTTTTTTTGGCAATTCTATTGATGGTTGAATGATGATAACCCATTTCATGACCAAATCATCTTAATGTCAAATCATTTGTCATCGAATTGCATTTGAGACTTACGGGGGACACATAATTTCAGTATTCAAGAAAATTAAACTTAATTATTCTAACTGTATAGGTTAACTTCAAGTTAACGTAGATTTAACGTATAGTTAATGTAACGTTAAAGCAAACTGAATGTAGAGTTAATGAAGAGTAAATGATGTTCTGACTTACTGTATTCGCTGCAGCTGTCCCCTGTATAGCATGGCTCACACTGACATCCCAAAGTATCACAGTCACCATGGTAACACTCCACACTTTCAGTCCTAGTAAAGAAAAAAAATCTACTAGTAATTTTTGAGGAATACAAGGTTATATGCATCAAGAACTATTAATACCAAAATCTACACCAAATATCACCCATCCAGAAAGGATTAAATGCAACTACACCAAATGTTTCTTGCCCGACAAGATGAACTAAATGTCGCTTGTTTCACAGGACTAAACACAAAACACAACAATATCAATTGGCTGGCATAATTACAAACGGAACTGTATAACATAATAATTTATTACTTACAAATCATAACAATTGTCTCTTGCCCAACAGGTCACTCAGATCACACCAAATGTTACTTACCAGGTAGATTTACATACAATGAAATATATGGAGATAACGAACAGTATTCAACACCAATTATTATCCTTCAGAATAACACAGTCATTCTAATTGGTCTAGGGCATGTCACGTGCGGGGAGACATTATACAAACATAGCCCTTTTATGAGGTCGATCCATAGATATATCTACTTCACAGAAAAGCATATCGACTGATCACGAAGTGCTCAGTCGATATGCTTAATGTTACTACGCGAAAGATAACAACAAAATTGTAATAAACCGTGAAATTATTAAAGTTTGTGTTATTTCAATTTGCGTAAAGATCAACGTAAAATGTAATAAAGCAAAATATAATAATCCAAAAATCCTGTAATTACATTTTGCGTTATTACATTCTGCATTGATCTCGACGCAAAATGAAATAACGCAAAGTGTAATAATCCTAAAAAGTCTGATTTTACATTTTGCGTTATTGCATTCTTCGTTGATCTTGATCAAAATGTAATAACGCAAAATGTAATAATCCCAGTTTATTACATTATGCGTTGTTATTACTTTTAGCATTGTAGCAATGTTTTTCTGTGAAGTTGATATATCTATGGATAGACCGAATCAAAGAGCTACATTTGTTACATTATATTCTTTGGAACAAAAAAGAGACAAAATCATTATTAGATTTTAAAAGTTTTAAAGATTTTCACTAATATTAAGACATATGGATTTTCCTTAAGTCATTTAACTCAATTAAGTCATTATCGTAAAATATAATTTTGCATGTGGTATCAAGCAAACCAATCAGAATAATGAATTACACAGTAAAATAATATTTCAAATATTTCGTAATGTCTCCCTCACGTGCAGGGTGACAACTGTGTTGTCTCCCTTCAAATGACAATGAAATAGCACACGCAACAATTTTTTATGACAATAAAATGTAAACGAGATAATTTCTGCTATAATTAAAAATTATATATGTAGGATCGGTAAACAATAAATTCAATATAGGTAAATCAAAAAACAATTCGTATGATATATCCACTTTTGATTAACACCACTTCTAGAATATACTGGAGCACAGTACGTCTAAAGTTTTCCTTTACAGAGGTAAATATTTTTGTGAGGAGTAAAGATACAGGTTTGGTTGAGAAGTTACTGGATCCGGCAATGAAGTTTTAAGTATCTAATATAGGTAGGGTAGTTCGAAATCCCTTTCGTTGACTGGAATATTTAAAGTTTTAAAGACTGAAATGTGATTTTGAAGAATTTCATACTTAGATGTGAGATAATACCGAGTTAAGTTGGCATTCCAGAAGAAGTTCTTCTAAAATACAATTGTAATAATGAGCCTTACAAACAAAGACAATATTGTTACAAGTCTTGTCTGCTGGAACTATAACATGTTGTTCATGTAGTATTTCTATTTCTTTTATCACTTCTGATTTAGTGAAAAGGGTAGGGAAAATGGTTCACATATTGCCTTTTAATTTCTAAAATAATTCTTTAATATATTTCTTAAACACTTAATCCATTCTGGCAAATTGTTCAGGTTTTCCATTCATATTGTGCCATCGTCTGGCATAATCCTCGACAGAATTTATAATAGAAAAGAATTGAAAGATCAGGGTTCCCTGTATTTAGAACCTAATCTAAAAAGATTGATTTTTGGTCGTCATTTTCAACTTTATTATTTTACATCACCAGTAACGACAAGTCCAACGGGACAATATCTGAAAGTAGAGGAAGAGCAAGAACACTTGTTCAGCAGGATTACATATAAATCACACAAAATGTAAATTGTTTCGGCGGGATTGCAGACAAATAACACTAAATGTCACTTGCAATGTATGATTTCATAGAAATCGCACACAGTTTAACCGGTAGGATAACATACAATTGAACCAAATGTCACTTGTCCTGCAGGTTTACGTAAAGATCACAGCAAATGCCACTTGTAAGGCAGGATTACATACAAATCACATCAACTATCATTTGCCAGGCACGATTAAATACAAATTAAAAACATTTCTTGCCCGGCATGATTACATACAAATTGCAAACAACGTAACTTGGTTGGCAAGTTTACATACATATCAATCATACATTTCACACCAAATGTCACGCCCTGCATGATCGCATACAAGACACACCACAAGTCATTTGAATGGTAGGATTTCATACTTGAGACATCAAATGTCATATGTTTAATAAAAAACTAATATAAATATCACACCAAACACCACACATATAGCACAGTTAAGTACGTACCTATCACACCATACATCACATGACTGGCAGGATTTCTTTCCTTTCCGTGTGCTACAAAAACAATCCTCTCTACCGCATATACTGGAGTGAAGGACATTGCATATTTTGTAAGCTAGAATAGAAATAAAATTATAAACACGTTATATTATACATATTTATATTTTCTGATTCAAAACAGACATTAAAGATGAAAATACTCTCGGCAGTGTTGTTAAAGCTTTGCATTGCGATGGGTTAATTGAAAAATGATATTGTATATTTTCTTACAATTTTTAATTACATGTTATCAAAATTAATTTGTAAATAAAGAGCTTTTCTAATAACATGTAATTGCTTTTTAGTTATCAATTTCTAAAAGTGTATGGAATTTCAAATACTCTTCTTAAATTAATTTTGAATTACTTCAGTATGTTTACATTCTTAAATGACGTTCATTTCTAATCATTTCTCCAATTTGGTAAACTATCAAATATGAAGATACATGTATAGAAAAGCTTTACATTTCACTTTGTCTTATACATTGTATACTTGATACAATGGCATTGTTGGCAAGTACAGTCTATCGTTAAGTCGAACTTTGACTGACGTTTTTCATACAATTTGTAAGGCCATTATTTTTACTCTGAATTATCTACGGATTTTTTCCGTCCGTCCGTCCGATCTCGACAAAGAGCACACGGCGGTGTGACCGGTCCACAGAGGACGGTTACTCCTCCATGACACCTGATTCCACCTCTGGTGTTTTTAGAGGACAGTGTTTGCTTTGATCCCAATTTGTGTTTTGTATTATTCCAATGGACTTGTAACCCTGATTTCTGTTCGTTATCTTCATACTTCATACTGTATATTCTTAATCTAAAGTTGAAACATAAGTTTGAACATTCTAATTTCATTTTGGAACCGTGTCAAATGTACTGGCCTACAGTGTTCAGCACTCCAAATGACCAACAGATTGACATTCTTGAGCTTGTTGTAGGACCGTGAGTTAAGCCAACAGTTTCTGTGTACGGTTATTTTACCTGAGATACCTTCTGAAACATTGACATATCAGAATATAAGTATTTTTTTAATGAACACCTTTCTGTTGTTTAGTGAAAACTATTATCTGGAAATATTTGAAAATATTTGGCTTGATTCCAAATCTTAAATCACTTTCTTTAAAATTCATAAAATCTTTAACTTTATTTACTTTCACGTTTTTGGTTCCGTAACAGTTTGTTATTGTTTTTCTTACCATTTAGCCTTTTTCATGTAAAATTTTGGTAACTTAACTCTAAATTAATAAATTAAACTTTAATCATGTAGATATTCGATACAGTATATTTTAGTAAAAGGTTTTTTAAAAATCAGGTTGTGTAATATAAGAATTATTCATATCCTCTGGGATCAATTTTGTAGAGTGTTCCAAAAGTGTGGAATGTATATATATCATACACTCGTTCATTATCACTACCTTTTCTCCTATTATCAGGTTTCCTTTAACTTGTTGCAAGTCAGATACCAGTTTTTCTCCAACTTAAGCTCCTTTATTTTTTTTCAATTTTGGAAAGCCATGAGACATGCCAAGAGAGTCCTTTAACATTTACTAGTATATAATTAAGGCCGAAAAAAAGAGTTGGAAAAATAAAAAATATCACTGTTTAGAAGTGATGGAACAGAGAGCGGTAATGAGAGAAAATTTAATAAACTTAGCTGTTGTATAATAAGTACGTATTTGTATTCACCAGTAATAAGTATTTTAAAATTGGCACAAGGAAAGATCATGGAATGGACAGAATTGATTTTTGTATACTATACAAATACTTATTAGACAACAGTGAAGTCGTTGGTAAGTAAACAAGTAAAATAAGTAAATTACTTATTATAGTTTCATGTGTTATGCAATGCAGTGAAAAAATTTAATGCAAATTAAATACTCCATCACCCGGCCCATCGAACCTATATTTCACTTTAAACTTTTAAACAAAAATAAATGAAATATATGCAACATATACAAAGCATAGCGTTTTCTAAACTTAATTCACTGTCCAAATCCTGGAATTTGCTAGAATTTTCCATTCATTCCATTGATCTTTCCTTGTGCCAATTTAATACTTATTACTGGTGAATTCTGAACATATCATAATTACTGTGTGATGTTGTTAAATTTGAATAAAATTGCTTTAAAGATATGAGAGTGAATGGCTAATGAAAATAAAACAACTTCCTAATATACGTTCTTATAAAGATTTTAACACAAATAATATTGAAAATTATCTTCAAATGAATATTTCAAAATTTCGGTTAACAATTAAAATGTGGTTTATTAAATAAGAGTTGAAAATGGGCGATATAAATGGAGAATCATTAGTTGAGAAATTTCGTAATTTTTATTCTTGAAACAAGTAGAAAAGGAGTGTTAAATTGTACTAAAATTTTCGAACAGATTTATTAACAAGTATTGGCTGTCACTCTACTTAATTAATGCCAAATTTAGACAGTTTTTTTTTCTTTATGAAATATTACCAGGCAAGCCCTAAAATATCTACCCGGTATATTTAGCAAACATGTACATACGAAAGCCGGATAGGCTCTTTTTTTTTTTTTTACAAAACCCCGAACGTCTACTGGACTAAACCAACATTTAATTATCACACTCAATTAAAGGGCCCTCTAAGGGGTACAGGTAAGGTCTACAATCATTTATGAACTAGCTTTACCTGTATTTATTGAAGGAGGAATTCTACAGCAACAGTAATTTTTGGATTAAACATCATTTCAGCATGAAAAGATTGATAAGATATTTATTGTTTTACATGATTTTTTTTCAGGGGAAATGTAAAAATCTTGAAGATTTTATCCATTAGTTTTTAAAAATGCTAAAAATAATATGTTTTGTTTTCACAAATAATTTTTTAGCAAAAATTAAAAAAAATTTATCTGATTTTCCTTGACAATTTTTATTAAATATGTATATTATCCATTTATTTAGGGCAAACTTTAAACTCTAAAGGATCTTATTTGCAATTAAAACAATCTTCATTTTCTCCTAAAAAAAAAGCCCCCAAAATTCATAAAAATTAATTTAAACTAATTTCAGTCTTTCCATACTGAAGCCATATTTCAGAGGAGATGTCTTAAAGGTCGGTTAAACAAAATTTCCGTGAACATGTAAAATGTGGTGTAAGTGATGCTTCAAGTGCCAATTGTTCGGTTAAAAAAGTTATGTTTGAAAATAATTCATCACATGAAAATAATTCATCACATGTTATTTGTTAATTTAAATGTCTTGTTCAGTTATGTTTCTTTTTCGAATTTTAAATGTATTTTAAATAAAAATATTTATTACATGTACATGTATATGAAAAAAAATATTTGTTCAGTGCCTTCAGTTATAGCAGGTATTTAATCAATAAATCTGTCGCTGCTAGAATTGTAACAGGACTTCCTATTTTTGTGTCTAGAGAAGCACTTTATTCTGAAACTGGTTGGGAAACTTTAAAAACCAGGCGATATATTGCAAAAATGACAACTATGTTCAAAATTCACACGGGAAGAGTACCTGAGTATTTGCATGATATTGTCCCCAATAAGCGTGAGCATGTATCCCTATACAATACCCGTAATAAACAAGATTATATTGTTCCAAGGTGTAGATTAGAATTATTTAGAAACTCTTTCGTACCTGATGCTGCAAAACAATGGAATTTACTAACAAGAGGCCCATGGGCCACATCGCTCACCTGAGCACATTGGCTAGGCAAAAGCACAATCAGTTCAGTATTGAAAAGACCGAGGGGGGGGGGGAGGGGGGGGGGGGCTTGATGAATTTTAAACTACCTGATGATGCTTCCATGTCAATATGGCTTTGTTGTACTTGAGAAGATTTTTTTAAAAAAAAATTCCCATATATTCCTTTGTAAAAATTTGATCCCTCATTGTGGCTCCTCCCTATCCCAGGGGTCATCATTTGAACAAACTTGAATCTACACTACCTGAGGATGCTTCCATATCAATATGACTAAACATAGCTTTTCTGTTCTTGAGAAGAAATATTTTTTCTATATGTTCTTATGTAAAACTTTCCATCCCCCATTGGGCCCCATCCTACCCCTGGGGGTCATCATTTGAACAAAATTGAATCTACACTACCTGAGGATGCTTCCATATCAATATGACTAAACATAGCTTTTCTGTTCTTCAGAAGAAGATATTTTCCTTTATATTTCTATGTAAAACTTTGATCCTCCATTGTGGCTCCGCCCTACCCCTGGGGGTCATGGTTTGAACAAACTTGAATCTACACTACCTGAGGATGCTTCCATATCAATATGACTAAACATAGCTTTTCTGTTCTTGAGAAGAAATATTTTTTCTATATGTCCTTATGTAAAACTTTCCTTCCTCCATTGGGCCCCATCCTACCTCTGGGGGTCATCATTTGAACAAAATTGAATCTACAGTACCTGAGGATGCTTCCATATCAAAATGACTAATCATGGTTTGCAGTTCTTCAGAAGAAGATATTTTCCTTTATATTTCTATGTAAAACTTTGATCCTCCATTGTGGCCCCGCCCTATCCCCAGGGGTCATGGTTTGAACAAACTTGAATCTACACTACCTCAGGATGCTTCCATATAAATATGACTCATCATGACTTTGCTGTTCTTGAGAAGAAGATTTTTAAAGATTTTTCCTATATATTTCTATTAAAAGTTTGATCCTCCATTGTGGCCCCGCCCTACCCCCGGGGGTCATGATTTGAACAAACTTGAATCTACACTACCTCAGGATGCTTCCATATAAATATGACTCATCATGGCTTTGCTGTTCTTGAGAAGAAGATTTTTAAAGATTTTTCCTATATATTTCTATGTAAAACTTTGATCCTCCACTGTGGCCCCGCCCTACCCCCGGGGGTCATGATTTGAACAAATTTGAATCTACACTACCTCAGGATGCTTCCATATAAATATGACTCATCATGGCTTTGCTGTTCTTGAGAAGAAGATTTTTAAAGATTTTTCCTATATATTTCTATGTAAAACTTTGATCCTCCATTGTGGCCCCGCCCTATCCCCAGGGGTCATGGTTTGAACAAACTTGAATCTACACTACCTCAGGATGCTTCCATATAAATATGACTCATCATGACTTTGCTGTTCTTGAGAAGAAGATTTTTAAAGATTTTTCCTATATATTTCTATTAAAAGTTTGATCCTCCATTGTGGCCCCGCCCTACCCC